AAACTAGGTTGAGCTGACTCACGGAAAAAACGGTCTTGAAGGATATTGATTAATTACTGTCATGAACAAATGTATCACGTGGTTGAACGATCAATCGGATTACGTGATGGATAAAGTGGTCTGTTGTAACCCCGTAGCGATCGACTGGTTTAGGGATGTGTTAAGAACTGCCTAGTGGATACTTTGTTGGCTGCACCGTGAGGGGTTGTGAAGGAACATTCAAAGAACTGGTTGATTGTTCAGTTCTGAGTGAACTATCTTCGAAGTCGGCCCTATCAGTCGATGTGTTGATACATTGCCGCCCGTCATTGAGCTTCAGCGTATGAGTGTTACTAGAAGATACAACAACTGTTGTTGGGCACCATGTACCATTCCCATGGGAATCTTGTTTCTTTTGAGTCAGACTCACTAGACAATGCGTTGCTTGATCGTCTGAGGTACTCGCACCGATAAACCATTCGATGTTGGATGGTATAAAGCTGACCGAGTGCGTTGAGGGAAGTGTTTTTGAAACTCTTTGCTGTTAAATGGCATTCCGTTGTAGGTGTATTCCGTTTACAGGGTCAAAATAATCTTCATTTACCTCGTGATCATCATGCAGTTAACGCAACCATTTTAACCGCAGTCTTCGAGGTATGACTAAGCGGTCTACCAAAAAAACAACTTTTATGTTAACTGAGTTCATTTTTGCATTGCAATAAAGGGTTGTAGTTCATTAGTTTTCTCGCCAGGCGGCCACTAGTTTGAACCGTTTCACCGTGGACAGAAACGAATCGTTGTTACTCATTCTTGGAATATCTTTGCATTTAGCTCCGGAGAGTCCATGCAATTTGCTTTGACTGGTAAGAGAAGGCAACTCAATGTGTCATCGGTTACACTACCGGATCCTGTCATATGGTTCGATTCGTATTCATAAGCACGTCGGCGAAGTGCCCATCTCTGCAAACGTTTCCAGAAAAACTGTTAATTCGCCACCCACGGCTAGCAGGGGTTGTTGATTGGTGTGCACATTAAAGAGATGGTACCATACATACGAATGGAAACGTTTCAGGGGCAAACATGACGTATGTTGTGTGCCAAATTTTAGTAGGCAAATGAGCACACAACGAATGAAGCAGTAAGTTTATTGTAAACAGCAAATATGTAACTGGTACACAAACCGGGGAAAAAGCAGGAACGATCAGTATGTAGAAAGGCAGACAGACAGAGTCCGGCTCACACGTTTCACTACATGCGAATGCAGTCAAGCCAGAATTCAAACAGTCAGTCAATCAATCAAGCGATCGATCGATCGATCAGTCAATTTGACCACAGGCATGAACAGAAATGAACACAAATCAGTCAGTTGTAAGCCATAACAACGACCAAGTCTTCGCTGCCTAGATGAGGTTAGTTCTTCACCTCAGATTGTAATGTTTTTGATGCTAAAGCTACAGGTTTTATACAGTTGTCGTCCAAGTGATGATGACTTCATACGGTACCAAGTCCAGATGGAGGTGCATTACACTGTACTGGTAAAGGTTTACTTGAGTCGATATGTACCCGAAATGACGATGATCACAACAGACGTTTGGCAGGATTGAAAGCTCTATTCTCTGAGTCAAACCAGACTCCTAGTTTGTCTTTTTGTATTTATGCATACAACGGTTCAAATGTTTGGGAAATATTCGGCAAAAATCGACGGGGATTTGTTTTTCCAAGCTGTCATCATCAAACACACTAGTGTGCTTAAATGATATTGACTCCATGTTTCGTTTAGCGGCTAGCTGTTCTACTGTGTTCAATACTCTTATTCAGTCGCGCCCAGACAAGTTGAACCATTTTTCTACTACAAAGTAGACTGGAAGTAGGCCTTTGCGTATGCTATCACGTTTTCACCTAGCCCTGTTGGGTTCATTTTAAACGAGCCAGCACGTGTTGCTGTCTTATCGGAGTTTTAGTGATTTGATTATATAGCCCGTCATTGGATTGAGAGATATTTGTATCCGTTTTAGACATAATTATAACAAATCACCCCGAATTCTTCTCTCTCCATCTCGGTGCACCCTTATCAATCAGCGATCATTGTCTACTCCTTCTTAGACCTAAGATATATTCCCGTTTTGCCTTCCATTCATTCAGGCAAAATAACTAAATCAAAATCCGTTTTGCGAAACACGTCACGTGAATGTATTTTTCTCCGTCAAGAGCCCTATCCATTGCAGTTTCATGGTTTCTCTGTGAGCCTTCATTGAACATCAATGTTAATCTTTTTGTTGATACAATCAATTCCATCTTTGAAATCTGTTGCCCGGTGGAAACCCTATTTCTCTCCGATGGTCGTATTTCATCTCCGAAACTCAAAACAGTTAGGAGACACAAGGAACATTTCTATAAATCCCGGAATTGATCAACGGTCAGTTATATTTCTGCGTTGATAAAAGAAGAAATTAAACTTATCGATTGAACCTATGGGAATCAATTCCTATGCAGCCAAAACAGGAGACATCTATGGAAGGGAATTCAGATCCTACGTGGATAGAAATCTAAACCAAATAAACGTACCGCGGACGTTGAGAGTATAAATCGGGCATTTGTGCATCCGAGTACCGATCCTCCTGTTTCATGGATTCCGGAATACGCGACTAATATAACCCCGTTCTCGAGAGAAGAAATATTTAAACTTCTTCGTACAACTAAATTATCCAATGGTATTGGTCCTGACGGTTTATCTTCATTCCTTCTAAAGCATGGTGCCCTGGCTCTAACGGATGCTTTTACTTCTATCCTCAACACGTCACTTAGTTTGTATTCGATTCCCAATTGCTGGAGACCCTTCATGATCATTTCCATTCGTGCAGATCTATCACCCTGTCTAAACGTCTCCGTCTCATTGCCCCGTCCCGCACTCTTAAATTGGCAGAACATGCCATTCCCAAAAGTCATTTTGCTTCTTTCAGTTCCTCTGAAGACCCTCTACTGTTTGCGTGCAAATCAAACAGGTCCACTTCGGATGCTGTTGCCTCCCTCGTTCATCACGTTACCAAATCCTTAGACGGATCTGCGACATCTGCAAGATGTTTTTTTAGATTTTTCATCAGCTTTTGACTGTGTTCCACGTTCCCTTCTCCTTCGTAAACTGGAATCGTTTGGCTGTCCCAAGCATCTACTGGCGCGGCTCGTTGACTACTTCACAAACAGAACCCGGCAGATTCGTCTAAACCACTCCTGAACAATTCGGGAGTACTACCGGGTACGTATTTTCTCCTTTCTTGTTTTCCACCTACATCAGTGATCTGCCTGCGAGTTTTCCAGCCCAATTATTTAAATATGCTGCCCTCTGCCAAGTCATTTCTGTGCCTGAGGACCTTTTACATTTCTTGTGTAATCTATCGAATATTCATGTATTTTCGTTCATTCTGGACTGTCTTTTAATTTATCCAAGTGCTTGGAATGCACTTTCCCCCTCTCTCGATTTATTTATTCGCGTGATCCATCTGTCATAAACACGGATCCCCTAACTGGAGTTGATTTTGTTAAGTATCTTGGAGTTACAATTGACACTAACTTACAACTCTGTACAGATACTTCACAGATTACCTTTTCAACTTCGAAGACTCAGGCAGTTCGATGCCAAGCAAAAGATCATTTCACTTTTTGTTTATCAGTGCGCTTTTCCCGTTCTTCTTTATTGTTCCCCGGTGGTTTTTGCTGGTCTACTTGGAAAGAGTTCAAAATTTTTCTTCAATCATCAGCCGTGTCTTCTATACCCGTTGATGAGCTATCTAAAAACTTTGTAAACTTCACTTGCCCGCACGTGAAACATTTGCTCAGAAAATCCTCTCTGACGCCAAACATCCTGGACATGGCGGTTTATCTAAATAGTGCTCTCATACGTCTACCCGATCTTCTTATCGATTATTACCCTCTCGCATTATTCTCTACAGAAATTTCGCGGTCCATATCTTGCCAGAATCCTTGTAAATCGAGAGTTCTCTTCTTCGGAATTTCTCAGTAACCGTATAGGTTAAATATTGTAGTTGTATTTTTTCTTCTATTGATGAGATATGTATTTTTCTTGACTGAAATGCGAACATTCTGTTCTCGCAAAAGTCTATACAAATACAAATATGAACACAATACGCCGAACCCTTACCCTTGGACTATATGGAGTGCTAGGTTCCTGAGAACCATCGAATAGATTATTTCAAATTTTCGGCTCTTTGCTGACACTTATCACTTATGAACGGTGTTGTTGTGGTAGCTTCCTGGGGACAAAACTCAGGGCTGTTGTGATTCACGTGCGAATGTGTAAACCAGATGAAATAAGGATGCTGTTTACGGGGGTGATCATTCTAAATCAACAACATATACCTTAGATTAGGACTAAAAAATAACCATTCTTTGAGTGAAAATTGCAAACGTCTAGCCAAGTTCCGTGATTCCTAGACCCGGCAGATGGGAGAATAGTTTGGGTGTAGGAAGCCCTTGGTGTTATACATGAATTTATGCAGCTCTGCGTATTGTGACTTAGCGAAACATTATTTCACAATCGATTCAACGGTTCTGGTTCTAGAAGGCTTCCGGAAGCAATACGTGATAACACTCGTGGACGATTCATCGCTGCGCAAACCGATTGTTCCTTTTCACTTCTTCCGCTCAATGCTTCGAAGTAACCGATCACTCCGATGCCAAGTAATAAACAATTGCGTTTATAGACTATTACAAACCCGGAGAGATATTCCTTGCACACATCATTGCACATGGATTTACTGACCGTGCGAAAAGTGTTCAGAGTGCCAAACCTCCTCGGAACAACAGCATCAAAAATTCCCAAAAGAGCTGATATGTGCACTAAGTGTATTACGAATCGAACAAAATGGTTCCGGCTTTGGTGAACAGGGAAGGTGATCTGCAATGATCTGAGTGATCAGCTGATTTTTGTCTGCGTCCGGAAAAATTGCGCATTTGATTGGATTCGGATAGATTGTTTATTGAACAATTTTTCGAGTGTATTGTCATCAATCACGCAAGCATAAAACTTCGTACTGGTGAATGGTATTTTCAATACCGTTTAAAGGGAAAAAAGCACATGCCCACGATTTATGAACTTTGCCCGTGCACCATTCGCCATCGACTAGGGCACGGGCGATATACAAAGGTTCCTTTGTTTCGGTTCTTCCGCCGCGTATAGCCAGAAAAGGAGCTGAACCATGGCATGCTTCTACCCATTTGTACCTGAATGGGATGAAAAAGATAAGGGTACAGTGTTTGCGATCAAATTTGAAATTCGAATTTGAACACTTGAATTTGAAAACATGACTAAGTGTACACAAAGTGTCAGTGACAAAATCGAGCTATTTTTCTGAATAATATTTCTAACTTAAATTCTGATAGTACTACTTGACAAGAAATAAATGCTCACAGTATTGCACGTCTCAGTTACCTCTTCCTGTGTTTATCATTTCAGGTATTTGCCAAAGTGAACAGGTCGAGGGCACGTGAGACCACGTTAGGGAAAGTTCTAAGAATCTGTATCGAAGAGTTTGATGCCTAACAGTTTCACGTTTGAGTCCAGTTTATTCGTTCATCGTTACTCGCCCACAACAGTGGTTACGCTCCGTACCCCTAAGCCTAATTCGAATCTGTTTCAGTTATATTTACCCTACTTATCTGTAAATCCCTCTTTAAGTGTGTTCTATTATTCACAAACCGATCGCGCTTTCGAATTTCGACCCGGATGTATGCACACCGATGATGCGATTATCACGAAGTACCTGAATTCGATTAACTCTGTGATCAGGGAACATTATGTTGGCCTCATGAAAATAATAAATGAAACAGGTGGCAGAATATTTCGTGAGTGTTGAGCAGCTCTATTGGTGCCCCTTTAGAAAAAATATGTCACTTTCGTCTTAAGTGGAGCGATGCGTCGAATACTAACAATATTTCACACAACCTGTTACAACTCACGGTGGATCGTTTTTGAACACGGACGTATCACATAATACTTCGAATTTCGTAACTTTGATTTCGTGACCTCCATATGACACAGATGCTTGTGGTGTGGTCCCGGACCATTTACCCGGGATTATATCCGATTCATGGTGAGCTCGGATTATGTACAATCCGGGTTTTGCTTCAATTGCGTTTGTTGGTAGAGTGCCATTCGCGTCAACTGGAATCCATGAAAGCGTAACCTCAATAATAGCCGGTTCGCAGAACATTCTGAAAAATGCAAAATATCATGAATTCTCATTTCATTGGAATACACTAAGAACTACTTCAACGAAGAGGAAGAGAACTAACCAATCGTCAGGTCAAGTCAGTTCAGGTTGCACAGGACTGATAGTAGTCACAGGCCAATCCAATCAATCGTCCAGATTTCCTTCGGTGGAGTGCTCTCAAATGTGCGTCCACCTCTGCGATTGATCGCTTCCTCGTTCTATTTCTTCAGTGCATTGTTCATTTTTTAAATCTATGAAAATTATGCGTTGTATCACGCAACCGTGAATGAACTTTGCTCTCGGCAACTCCACGTAGATAACATGAGCTCGTCAGGATTTGCATTCTCACACGCTGTGTAGTTCACTCGTAAACGCACAAACTTCGTGTTTACTCACTAACCACACACGTGCGCCGTTGTTGGAGTAGGCCAGTTGTTTCAACACTACAGTTGACTCGTGATTGGTTTATAGTGCGACGTGTAACCCTATTGGTTCTAAATCAGTCGATTACATTCGGTCTGATCGATCAATGCAAGGCAATTAGTGACCATGTCACCAGCCAACATAGGTTATCAGCAACACAAATATATCACCATTTACGTTTTGCCTATGCATGTAGTGTGTATTAAAATCATAACAGTCCACACAAACAAAAGTTCATTTAAACCGAATGATGCAGATCAGCGAAACAAATTATTTTATTTCATATTCAAACAAACCCGTAAATAACAAAGTTACTCGAATCAAATAAAGTCTGTTGATGAAATACCTCGGAAATAGTCATTCGCCTTTATCTGTCTGTTGGAATAGCATGTGTGAAGTTCTAGTGTTTACCCACATGTATCTACTAATGATGGATGACAGTCCGATACGCCATTCAGATCAACTTTAATTTAATATTATTTAACCTGCCACAAAACACTGCCGATGCATTCGTAAAGTCGAAACCGTGAACAAATAAGATTACGAAATGATCGACTAAACGCCCGAACTTGGAGATCAAAGTGCAACCATATTTACTTACATATAAAGTAACTGATTTCTTTCCCGAAAACTTTGACGTAAATAGTATTGAACGCTAGTGGATGAAGGAGCAGTAGACCAGTGTTGGTTTTCACATTTAAATACCATGGGTTCATGCGGTTCATATCATACAATCTCTTGTAGATTGATAAAATGATTGGTGAATGAAGATTAGTACGATTTTATTGGCTAATCACTTCTTTCGTCGTTACCATTCAAATTCTACTGGCTGTAGCTTCTTTTGATCGTTCCAGAGGTTTCTACGTTATTGCTTGTAGGCCAGGCTTCGGGATCTGGCGATCAAACTGGTTAATGTAAAATGAATGTAGTTAATCGCGTTAAACAAAAAACGTGTGTTTCATAGTATGATTTCGCATTCCTCGAGGTGATCAGCCCTGCCAGTTCATGAACATTTGCGAACGAAATGCCGATTATTGAAAACCGCTCACCTATATTGCTCCGAATTCAGCTACACGCGGTATCATGCGTATCGCAAGTGCGGATTCTACATATAAGGATACAATTTGTATCTAAGTTGAAATATACTGATGAAGCGAGAGCCCCTTTTCTGGCTATCCAATTTACTGCTCTCCATATTTTAGAGGCGTAAGGTATGACAAGTGTTGCTGCTAAAGAACGATAGTCTTCCATCCCATACATTATATAATAATTTTTGTACATAATAATACTTTTATAATGTAGGTATATCTAATAATATGCAGTATATTACATCTTTCATTTTATTACGCATCGAACAAAATTTATTGTCAGCATTTCCACTTGTATGCAGCACTGTTGTCTGATCGTTGCACGGCCCGGCCAAATAAAGTGCATCATCGTGCTGTACTGTGGCGAGGTCATAGAAACTACTTAAACTGCATGATATGTTTTTTTGATATGAGCTGATTATCCGTCGGACTTCATCTGCTTCCGAGTGTAGGATTGGATCGATGAACTGAGGATTGTGCGTAAGGGTGAAGTCCGAGGACAGTCAGCTCAAATCAATAAAAATCGATTATCTCACACCAATATTCACAAATAACAGTGAGTCAAATGCGAGGTATCCGATTTTGTTGTTTTTCTCATTTATGTTGTTTCTGGTTTGTGTCTTTCCCATTTCAACTCCATTCGATTGTCACCTCACGGTAGTGAATTGAATGTAATCAAAAACTGCGCCGTGTTGCAAACAGGAATAGGTTAGCTACCTCGAACGTGGTCGTCAGTCGCGTCATTTCAAGTCAGTAGTAGCCTTATGCACCCGGATGGGCGAATTTTCAGCATGTAAACCATACTTGTGGTTTCAAATTTACAAAGTCATACATGATGAAACTGAAAGCAGCAGATTTTGTGTTTATCAGTGAAGCAAGCATTTGCGCCAATCTGTAAAAATTTTCCCCTTTCAATAAGTAGACGTGCTAAATATGGCAAAACAGGATTACGATTAGGAGAGATACGTGCAAATAACAGTTTAAATCTTGAGCGTGTGGATGACGGAAATAGAGCTTTTGAAAATTTGTTGTACAATTGGTGTTGAGTATCTGAGAGTATTTTGGCAATGAAATTTTCACATGCTTGTATGTGTCTGTCTATGATAGAATCGGCGAGTTTATCCCTGACAATGCCACTACATTTAGAGATGTGTTGTAGGGATCTCGCCAGTAAATAAACGTTTTTCTAGAAAATACCGGAAAAAATCACCGGGGAGCAATACAATCCGTGGGGTGGAACGCATGCATTCACAAACCGAACAATCAGCTTGTGGGGACAGAAAGTAATCTCTATCGGAGTGACACATATGAAAGCTTTCGAACTTTACAAAATGCGTTTTGAACATGCAGTGACCATGATGAATCGTGTGATATGGTGACATCAAGGTATTTTAAGATTGTTGATTTCGGTATGGGTTTATGATTGGTGGAGAGGGCGAGGAACCTATCTGTGATGTTTGAATGTCGTACAGCGGCCAACATCCAGAAATTTAGAGGCATTCAATGAGAGGGAACGGGATTGGGACTAAGTAACAACGTCGTTTAGCTTGCTTTGAATTTCTGAAGCTTTTTCTTGGGTGGATGCTTTGCAACCTTAAGCAACGTCATTTGCGTACGTACAGTCAATATGAATGCAGGAGGAGTGGGAAATCTTTTGACATACATTGAAAAGAAGAATGGAGGAAATATTGCACCTTACAGAATACTAAAAGCAACTGGGCAAGTGGAGGATTGTTTGCGGTTGAGACACGTCATGAAGTAGAGTGAACTGAAGAATCATGTTTTAAAGTCAACTTAGTGGGCTCCATGCAAAAGGTACAACCGGTTCCAGTGCTTAAAAACAAATAAGAGCAATCAAATAAATGAAAGATACTTGTTGTACAACATTGAGTCATTTTTGTAAAAAAACGTTCGACTAAAATTTTATAGTGATACTTGGTCTTCTTACAACTGATGCGTCAGTAACTGCCGTCGAGATGGAGAAGTGGTGAATTGAAATGGCGTTCGACTAATAGACGCAAACACATAAGTGTATATTATCACAGATACATTTCGTCTGATGTGAAGAAATAACGTATTCAATCCAGTCAATAAGGTATCAAATACCAAGCATTCGGAGCAGTTAATGTGATGCGGGTCAAAGTGCTGTCGATTTAAACCTGTATATCATTTGACGCCCTCGGAAACAGTCGACTGGTACACAAGCATGTATACGGTCATCTTTATAAGACCGCGTAAGTCGTTTCCGTGAGTTAGTTCGGAGATAGTTCGTGCACTAGTGATCACAGTTTCATATTTGGCATCTGTTAAAATCGAATAACAATCCCACCACGAATGCATAGTATTGCTACTATTCCCAAACCCGAGAAGCACACAAAACAGCAAGAGAAAAATTTAAGGTATGATCGTGATAATACATCGATAGACTAAATAACCGTCTAAAACTGAGTCAAGCTGGTTCACGGACTGAAAATCCTGGAAGTAAATTCGCCAATTTTTGTCATGATCAAGCACATCGCGTGATTGGACGATCAATAGAAATGGATAGACAACATACGTGTTAGTATCACTCTTGGTCCCCAGATCTCACATTGCGCTTCAGGAATCTTACATATTATGGTTCACGTTACATCTTTCTTCTTGAATGTCACTTTTCCTATCATAATGTAATCATGTAATCACTTTTACGGACGCTACCCCACAAAGGAGGAATGCACATGAGACTGTCTCGCGGATGACAGTTCGGTTAGTCAGCAGGAACCTAAAACGTAAACCCTCTCGGCTAAGGCAGTATTGCAAACTTAGTAGGAAAATAGCTAGACTAAGTATCAACTTTACTGTAAACTTAAGATAGAACTAGATACCATCTGTACCCACTGAGTACAGCTGACACTACTTCCAGTACTACTATTAATAGTAACATTCACTATGCGTTTCCATAGTTTAGTGTTCTTGTTCTGACATCGGATTACGGATGACATCAAGAACAAGCATGTAAGTTTGTTAATGCGTTCCGTGCTGATTGTAAAACAGCTATAATCCACAAACAAATACAACTAGAGGAGAAATCAACAACTTTCTTTTTCATTGCGAAAACTGTTGGGGGATATATATGTTATATATGCACGTTGCGATTTAATTTTTCGGATCAGTGCAGAAATAATGAATGAGCCACAGAAAAAGCCAGCGGTATGACGCAACACATTCTTCCTCGGGAATCGTTCTGAAAGAAAGCTCCGAGCGTAACGATTTCATCTTTTTAAGATCAAAACAGAAGGAACCGCTCTCAGTTTTTGCGTCCACTAACATGTGAGTGATCAGCCCGGAAAAATGTAGGTCACGGTCGATGTACTGAAATTCATCTGTTCCCCGAAGTCTCCGTTTTCGATAGGGAAAGCATCACGCCGAAATACGAATTTGAAATGCATCCTGAATTAATCATATATGACGAAAGTAGTGCAACCTACCGCCTCATTATTTAGTCAGAGG